TACTGGATCCGCCTCAAACCCACATCCAACCCAAATGTCATCCCTAATCTATGTCCAATAATATGTAAATGCGAGTAGGCAAAGTTCTGTCCATATTTGCATTATTTTTGTTGCTAGTTTCCCTTTTAGGAACATTGATTTTGTACAAAGCGTGCAACGATCTTTCCGTCTAAAGGCTCCAGGTCTTGAAACCTTGATCTTAAACAATGACGGTACCTCGCAGTGCCTGTTCAGAGTTTGAATAGAAGACGGAGTGACGGAAGACCCCTGCGGAGCCACAGCCTATTTTAGCACGGGAACAGACGTAATTGAAGTAACTGAATAATTGCAGCCTAATGCAGATAACTGCAGCCTTTCCTCCTATGGATCCGTCATTCCCTGTTAAAAGTCAATCTGGAAACAAACGCGAATTCGAGGCCTTTCATCTGCTCGTGCTAGGGGGGCCCATTTGACGTCTGTTCTTTTTTTGGAACAATTGTCTCAGCGGCATTGGCGACATGTGCAGGTTATGTGAAATTAAAGGGGAACTCTGCTATGCATCTTAACTTATTCCATATAATAATCCTGATGATTATATATACATATACACTCACCAGCCACTTTATTAGGTACACCTGTTCAGTTGCTTGGTAACACAAATTGCTAATCAGCCAATCACATGGCAGCAACTCAATGCATTTGGGCATCTAGACGTGGTGAAAACGACTTGCTGAAGTTCAAACCGAGCATCAGAATGGAGAAGAAAGGGGATTTAAGTGACTTTGAACGTGGCATGGTTGTTGGTGCCAGATGGGCCGGTCTGAGTATTTTAGCAACCCCTGATCTACTGGGATTTTCATGTACAACCATCTCTCGGGTTTACAGAGAATGGTCTGAAAAAGAGAAAATATCCTGTGAGCGGCAGTTGTGTGGACGGAAATACCTTGTTGATGTCAGAGGTTAGAGGAGAATGGGCAGACTGGTCCGAGATGATAGAAAGGCAACAGTAACTCAAATAACCACTCGTTACATCCGAGGTATGCAGAATACCATCTCTGAACGTACAACACGTCCAACCATGAAGCAGATGGGCTACAGCAGCAGAACACAAACACCGGGTGCCACTCCGGTCAGCTAAGAACAGGAAACGGAGGCTACAATTTGCAAGGGCTCACCAAAATTGGACAATAGAAGATTGGAAAAATGTTGCCTGGTCTGATGAGTCTCAATTTCAACCTGCGACATTCAGTTGGGTCAGAATTTGGCATAAACAACATGAAAGCATGGATCCATCCTCCATGATTGTATATTTAGGACCACTGAGAGGTGAAGTGAATAACATTGATTATCTGGTTTCAGTGGCACCTGGAAGTGGGGGGGATAAATTAGGCAGCAAGTGAACAGTTTGTCCGTGAAGTTGATGTGTTGGAAGCAGGAAAAATGGGCTACGTGAGGATTTGAGCAACTTTGACAAGGGCCAAATTGTGATGTATAGACGGCTAGGTCAGAGCAACTCCAAAACGGCAGCTCTTGAGCGCTGTTCCCGGTCTGCAATGGTCAGGACCAACCAAAAGTGGTCCTAAGAACAAAAACCAGTGAACCGGCCACTGTAGCTCAAATTGCTGAAGAAAGTTAATGCTGTTTTCAATAGAAAAATATCTGAACACACAGAGCATTGCAGCTTGTTTCGTATGGGGCTGTGTAGCCACAGATCGGTCAGGGTGCTCATGCTGACCTGTGTCCACTGGCAAAAGTGCCTACAGTGGGTACTGGAGCATCAGAACTGGACCACAGAGCAATGGAAGAAGGTGGCTTGGTCTGATGATTCACATTTTCTTTAACATCATGTGGATGGCCGGGTGTGTGCGTCACTTACCTGGGGAAGAGATGGCACCAGGGTGCACTGTGGGAAGAAGACAAGCCTGCAGAGGCAGTATGATGCTTTGGGCAATGTTCTGCTGGGAAACCTCGGGTCCTGCCATTCATGTGGATGTGACTTTGACACGTACTACCGACCTAAACATTGGTACTGACCAAGTACACCCCGTCATGGAAACTCTCTCATGGCAGTGTTTTTTTTTCAGCAGGATAATGTGCCCTGCCACACTGCACTAATGGTTGAAGAATGGTTTGAGGAACACGACAAGGAGTTTGAAGTGTTGACTTGGCCTCCAAATTTTCCAGATCTCATTCAAATTGAGCATTTGTGGGATGTGCTGGAAAAACAAGTCCGATCCATGGAGGCCGATCACCTCACAACTTACAGGACTTAAAGAATCTACTACTGACGAGTTAGTGCCAGATCCCCCAGCATTCATTTTAGTCATTATATCTGTAACAGATACATACACAAAGATCTCTTAGCAAGTCATCGGTAAGGTTCCTCTTTGATTACAGGATAATGTCCAACCTATAGAATTGGCATGGGGAGATGATGGTGGTGGTGGTGGTGGCAGTATTCCCTCTGCTGAGCCCATAAGGGGACAGTGATCACACAGTGGTTAAAGCATAGGCTTCTACAGCTGCACAACACTGGAAGTGTGCACCATGGCAGACCGCGCGCTGCGGATTGGCCAGGCAGCTAATGGCAAATCGAGCAGGGATTCAAGACTCTGCACATTGTCAATGGGGATGAGACCAGTACCTTCCTCAGCCAGTAACAAAGCTGTGATTGATAGCCAGCATCCTGGAAAATTGCTGTTCCACTTTAAGTGTGATCCTTAAAGTTTGTAACCCCTTAAAAGTGTTCACTATCATCTGAGACAGGAGCTTACGCCTACATGGCCTGCTTGTAAACCGGGAACAGATTGCATGGCCTACTGCCATCTGGCCAAGTTAAAAAGCCAGTTTGGACCTTTTAAATACACCACTAAAAAAAAATCCCTCCAGGCGTTCCATGAACATGAAGCTCAGAATGTGGAGCAGCAGCAGAATACAGGCACCGAGGAAAAAAAAAGAAATAGGTCAATTTACAGAAAATAATAATGACTTGTGGGATTTTTATGGGTTATATAATCCCCCCATAGGCTTTTTACATGATAAATTACACAGACCAATGAGACTGCAGCAAGTGCTGATTCCGGGGAATTTCTAACATCATGCAATTAGAACATGAGAGGCTAAGTAATGCACATTATGCCATACAGAGATATAATCTTTTATCTGGAGTATAAGAACAAAAACAATAGAACAATGCTTTTTTTTCAGAGAATTGCAGCTATTTTTCATCAAAATGAAAAATAAAGAATGTTCTAAAATGAATAAAGGGAGCGCCTGCCTATAAAAGCCCTTGCCCCTTTAATGGTGCAGGAGCGCCAAACATGAGAGATCTAAAAGGAAGGATATTTAAAGTTTTGTTCTGTTATTTGTTCAATTCTTCATGATAACTCAACAACGCATTTCGGGGACCCTATATGAACCCTTCCTCAGGGGTTAGGAGTCTGGAAATCTGCCCAGAACAGCCAGAAGAAAACAGCTGGTAGAAGTCGGCATGAACCGATTGTGTTGCCTTGAAAGCAGCCCTGCGGTTGGCATGCTGCTGTTATCAGTGCCTACCATGCTGTATGCTTCGCTCCGAGGAGGTAGGTATGTTTGCAGGAAGCCAGGACTCGAGCTCCAAGACTTGCCAAAGTGAAGGGGGATGATAAGAATTTAACATAATGAAAGAAAGCAGGTAATTGAAAATTCTACTTTGAAACATTGTATATGAAAATTTTTCTTCTGGCTTCCCTGCCAGCAAAAATGCAATGCTTGCCGGTATCATTGTCTCATGAATCCAAATCATGTTAAGGGTCGGTGTACACAGGCTTTTGTTCACATCAAATCTGCTTTATGTCCCCATACAAGTCGACAAACAGAAGCTTAAAGTTGAACTCTGGGCATAAATACGGTCATTTAAATATTTTCCGCAATAGCCACAACCGACATAAATGCAGCAAATGTGTGAAC